TTTGATTTATGTCCAAAAATACAGGGATATATCGGAAAGCGATGAGCAGTGGAAGGCCTACACGAAAGAGAATCCAATGTTCCTAAAGATGTCGATATCTGCCGTCAGTTTAGAGAAATTTAATTTAGACAATTGCTTCCCAACTGTGAATCCGATGTGATTTAGAGGATAACAACAAGACATATAATAATAATAATAATAAAATCACAAATTATTTGCTCAATAATTTACACGAAAAGGAAGTGTTATTTGCCGTAATAACAGACTGTCCCACTGTACTTGTATAGTATTATATAAATTAATATTTTAATATTGTATAAAACGAATTATCAAACACACAATTGTAAAAAATCTTTTTTCAATACAAATTCAGACACCGCTTAATATTAAGTCAACGAATAAATTATTAATATTTCGAAACGTCGGATAAATTTGAATAAATTACAACATATATGATATTTTCTACTATCAAATTGAATTTATAAACAATTGTTTTTCGTATGATTTGTGACGAACTTTTTTCTTGTGCATTAAACTATAAGAAAAAGTTTTCTTTTTATATAAGATTTAAGAGAAATCAATAAACAATTTGAAGGAAATTTATTTTATTGTGAATTTCAATGATAACTTGAAGATCAAGTTTTTCCTCACTTTTACAAAAAAAATACACAAATTTCTTGCAATATTTCGTTTTCAATAATAATAATAATAATATTTTAGAAATGGATTGAGATTTAAAATTGTATCATTATATTTTAAATGTATATTATAGTGTTTAATGGTAAATAAGAAAAAATGATTTACTAGTAGAGCGCAGGTATAGTAAACTAATGCCTATGTAAACATCTTAATTTAATGTGAAATTGGATAACAGATCATTAAGTACAGCAAATTAAGTAATATAGCTGTAAAGACTTTACATGTACAGTACATTATAATATAATGATTGTATTATGATTGTTTAAAAATATTTAGCTGTAACATAACTTATATCATTCAAATAGGATTATCAGATTAGCACTTTGTTAACAATATTATTATTTACAGGTAATATTATATTACTAATATAAATCTCAAATATGTTTTTTAAATAATTACAACTATTAAATTAATGGATTATTGCTTTATAACCTAACACAACCTTGCACAATCTAGGCATTACATTAAACTAAATTAATACCTGTACCTATAGTTGAAATATTTGACGACAAAGAACAATTACTCAAAAAATATTTATTGCATTTTTAGGTGCATTCCTGATCCCATACATAATATTTCTGATATTTGGAGGCATTCCCGTACTATTCTTAGAGACAGCAATTGGCCAATACTTCCGAAACGGCGGTATATCCGTCTGGCAATTGATTTGTCCCATCTCTAAGGACTGATCCCATACATAATATTTCTGATATTTGGAGGCATTCCCGTACTATTCTTAGAGACAGCAATTGGCCAATACTTCCGAAACGGCGGTATATCCGTCTGGCAATTGATTTGTCCCATCTCTAAAGGGATAGGCATCGGCACAATAGTTGTCTCATTTATACTCAATTGCTATTATATCGTCATAATAAGCTGGGCACTTTTATACCTATACTACTCATTCTCGTGGGTCCTTCCCTGGTCTACGTGTGATAACGCGTGGAATACAGCGAGATGTTGGTCCCCATACACCAACACCACAGCCAATGAACACTCTGTCAATTCGGTCATTGAATTCTGGGAAAGAAAAATAATCCAGGTCTGCAATGTATTCAATGAAAATACATTTTTAACAAACTTTCTATGTAGATAAAATTGTAACACATTTTAAATTTATTAGAAGTTTGAAATTATTTTTTATAATAACATATATTGTTAAATATCATTAATTTGTGTATAAACTACAGATAAGTGAAGGCATCGACCATCCGGATGGCATACAATACGAGTTGGCGTTGACTTTATTGATAGCGTGGATCTTATGCTTCTTCTGCATCTGGAGAGGTATCAAATCGACGGGAAAGGCAGCCTATGTTACCGCTATATTCCCATACTTCGTTATGACGGCGCTATTCATTCGCGGCATAACTCTTCCCGGGGCCGGGGATGGCATTAAGTTTTATTTATTACCCGATATGAGTCGTCTGAGTGACCCCCAGGTGTGGATAGATGCCGGCACTCAGATATTCTTCTCGTACGCCATAGCACTGGGATGTATGACAGCACTCGGCAGTTATAATGACTTTCACAATGACTTCTATCAGTGAGCTATCAATTCATTAGGAATATTAAAATTCATTAAATATACGGAATATTCATGAAATCTCTATTTTTAACACTTACTGTACAGTATGCCTATTAACACTACAGTAGTATTAATTGTAATTTTATTAACTAATGAGTATTTTTTCAAATGTTTATTTTGCAGTCAACTATTTTTCTTGTGTTGTATGAACTCCGGGACCTCAATGTACGCCGGGTTCGCCATATTCTCGGTGCTGGGGTTCATGGCTCACGAACAGGGCCTCACAGTGGGTCAGGTGGCAGAGTCCGGACCCGGACTGGCATTTATAGCCTACCCGCGAGCCGTGGCTCAAATGCCCGGCTCAACCATTTGGGCGATTCTGTTCTTTGTGATGATCCTGCTGTTAGGTCTGGGCAGTCAGTTTGTGGGGGTGGAGGGGTTCATCACATCCGTGGTTGATATATATCCACATTATTTACGATATGGCAAACGGAGGGAATGGTTTATATTTGGCACGTGTTTTGTCTCGTATTTGGTTGGATTACTAATGGTGACCAGGGTTAGTGGTTTAATTTAAAAAAATTTAATTTGTTTAATTGAGTATTAATTTCTAATTGTATCTAAATTATTATTAGGGAGGAATGTATGTTTTTCAACTATTTGATTATTACGGAGCATCCGGTATGTGTTTGCTATGGTTTTGCTTTTTTGAGTCCATTGTCATCGGATGGATATACAGTATGTCTCACGAAATNTTTTTGAGTCCATTGTCATCGGATGGATATACAGTATGTCTCACGAAATGAACATAATATATATGCTAATCATTACTAATCATTGGCTGTCATACCAGATGCCGACCGTTTATATAAGAATATTGAAGAGATGGTAGGCTTTCGTATGTTTATTTGGTTCAAACTCTGCTGGAAGTACTTCACTCCTCTGCTAACTTTCGGGACATTTAGCTTCTATGCCATCACTTATAAGCCGCTTAAGTATGCGTTTAATTCATACATTTATTGTATATTTAATATACAATTCAGACAAGCATTAACTTGCATTCAAATAATTGATTTGAAATATTTGCTGTATTGAATAAATTTTATGTGATTTAATATTTTGTGAATTAAGTTTATACAACTTACTTCAACATAAATTTTTATTATTCTATTTTATTGGTAGTTTAGGTTTCAATTCAATTTATAATAAAAATTATGACTAATTTATAGAACCATAGATTGGATGCATGTTAATACAATAGATATAAACATGGACTCATTATTTAATTACAAGTTAATGTGAATTTATTTGGTAGTTTTTATTATACTATTCCAAAACTACATAAAACTAATGATATTATACTACTGTTAGTATACTACTGTAAAAAGTTACTTACTTTTAAAATAAAAATTTAATATGATAAAATATGATCATCAAATCTCAATACACATTATTATGTAATAATAAATGTCAATATAATAGAAATATATTTTAATTTATTAATTTTAATATGTACTAAACCAGGTATAACAACATCTACGTCTACCCCGGGTGGGCCATTGCTTTTGGCTGGAGTTTAGCGCTCTGTTCAATGGTTATCGTCCCCTTATATGCCATTTACATCTGGTTTTCCACCCCATACTCATCAGATGTAAGCGAATATACTATTCTTAAAGTATATATTAAAAATCGATCAAATGGAGTTTAGCGCTCTGTTCAATGGTTATCGTCCCCTTATATGCCATTTACATCTGGTTTTCCACCCCATACTCATCAGATGTAAGCGAATATACTATACTTAAAGTATATATTAAAAATCGATCAATACTTTACTTTTATTTTTTATTTCATTCAAAAATAAAACTCAGAAATTAAAGAAACTTTTTGGTTCGTCTCAAAGCCCTTATTATGACAAACAGGAGAGCAATGATCACAGGATAGCAAACGTATCGGAGAACTCGTTATAAACCAAGTTTTGATTATCTGTCAATCATTTTGTGTATAATTGTAATCGACTCTTAATATACATTATTATTCTGTATATTCATATGACTTTTTCTATACTATACCTGCGCTCTACTAGTAAATCATTTTTTCTTATTTACCATTAAACACTATAATATACATTTAAAATATAATGATACAATTTTAAATCTCAATCCATTTCTAAAATATTATTATTATTATTAAAAACGAAATATTACAAGAAATTTATGTATTTTTTTGTAAAAGTGAGGAAAAACTTGATCTTCAAGTTATCATTGAAATTCACAATAAAATAAATTTCCTTCAAATTGTTTATTGATTTCTCTTAAATCTTATATAAAAAGAAAACATTTTCTCATAGTTTAATGCATAAGAAAAAAGTTCGTCACAAATCATACGAAAAACAATTGTTTATAAATTCAATTTGATAGTAGAAAATATCATATATATTGTAATTTATTCAAATTTATCCGACGTTTCGAAATATTAATAATTTATTCGTTGACTTAATATTAAGCGGTGTCTGAATTTGTATTGAAAAAAGTTTTTTTTTACAATTGTGTGTTTGATACTTCGTTTTATACAATATTAAAATATTAATTTATATAATACTATACAAGTACAGTGGGAAAGTCTGTTATTACGGCAAATAACACTTCCTTTTCGTGTAAATTATTGAGCAAATAATTTGTGATTTTATTATTATTATTATATGTCTTATTGTTATCGTCTAAATCACATCGGATTCACAGTTGGGAAGCAATTGTTTAAATTAAATTTCTCTAAACTGACGGCAGATATCGACATCTTTAGGAACATTGGATTCTCTTTCGTGTAGGCCTTCCACTGCTCATCGCTTTCCGATATATCCCTGTATTTTTGGACATAAATCAAACATTTTAATGATTTTTGAAATTTTATTAATATTTATGACTAAAAGGAAAATAATAAAAATTATCGTAATTATTTAATTAGTTTCTAATCTTAATATTTAATAATATTTAATAATAAGTACTGCAAACAAATGCCAAATTATTTAAAACTATTTTCTTGCGGTACCCATAAGTAGGCCGACGCTTAACTTAATTACATTAGTTCTGGTATTTTAGGTATTAAGCGATTAGGGAAAACATTGGAAACTATAAAATATGTGTTTTAAAACAAACAATTAATGCCCCGGGTGGAATGGCAATATTCAGTTAAATTTAATTGGAGCGACAGGTTATAATTTATTCATAAAAATAATAATAATTACAAAAATATACTAATCATAATAAATCATATTATTTATCCGTCCCATGGGTTTGATCGATAAGAGTAGAGAGAATGTGTTGTTCATAATGAGTGAGAAAATAGTTTGCTTTTTGTGTTGAAATTATTTTCACAGTTCTGTCACAAAATTGATGTAATATTTGTTTGTGGGTAAAAGTTATTTTGCATTCAATTTAGCGATAAATCTATTAATTTCTTTTAAGGAGCGATAGAAAGCAAGTGTTTTAATAGTTATTGATTGAAAATTAGTTGTCTTAATGCAAATCATACGCAAAAGTACTAATGGTTTTTGGGGTTAAGAATTCAATTAATAACTCAAAAGAGACTAAAGACTAACCCATTTGTGGCAAATTGGGCCCAATTTTTCATCACCCGTCGACTGAATTTGAGTTCGTCGTTGTCGTAGAGGTTCTTGTGTTTCAGTGGGTAACCCATGGCGAAGACAATCTCGTCGTGATGTGAGGAGAACTCCATCAACTCGTAGATATATACGGATCGGTTGGACTCCACCATCGTATTGGCGAACTTGAGGAGCGGACACACCAGTCGTTCCGTGTATTCGTCGGTCTCTCTCTTCTTCCGTCGCTTTCGCTTCTCCTCCGCGTCGTCGTTGGCCTCATCATCGCCGCCCTCAGCCTCCGTCTCTGCCTCCGGGTCCTCCTCTTTCTCTTCCTTTTCGGTTTCGTCCGTTTCTTCTTCTTTTTCTGATGAATCCGACGCTTCGGTAGTCGAAGTTGTGGTCGATTTTGGTGTTGTGGTTGGAGTGGTGGTTGTGGTAGTGGTCGGCGCTGCTGTAGTAGTAGTTTTTGTGGTGGTTGTTGTTGACTTCGATGCCATTGTTGTCTCCGATGGAGTCGTTGTCATCGTCTTTGGTTCAGGGGTTGTGGTTGTGGTGGCGGCCGATGTGATAGCCGTCAGCAACGGTCTCATTGTCGGCCTCTCCACGGGAGTCGTGTCCTCATTGTCTTCCCTCGACTCCACCTCTTCCTTGTCCTCACTGTCGCCGCCATCAGTCTCTGAGTCCCCGCTTTCCTCCCGTGACTCGGACTCACTCTTCTCGCTCTCGGAGTTCTTAAAAGTCGTCAAAAACAACGAGTCGTCCTCCGAGTTGACGCCAAACATGAAATCAATTTGGAAGTCAAACGCCTCCCTCGCCTCCGACGGATATTTGTCGACAAAATCGCCGGGAATTCGCGGCCCGAATGCCACCGAATTGTCTTCGAGTATCTCCTGCTGCACCTCAAGAAGTCTATCGGTGTTTATGGATTTCATGCACTCTTTGATTTTGGGCGCATCCCCGCAGCCTATCTCTTCGGCAAACTTTTGCGAGTATTTCGTGGTCTGAGAGTAAAGCTCTTTATTGAAGAGTAGACCAAATCCCTGGAGAATAGTTCGCTGGAAGAAGAACTTGCTGTCGGATGTCATCATATGGAGACCGGCAGAGACAGCACCTGTTAGTATTTCGTGGTCTGAGAGTAAAGCTCTTTATTGAAGAGTAGACCAAATCCCTGTAGAATAGTTCGCTGGAAGAAGAACTTGCTGTCGGATGTCATCATATGGAGACCGGCAGAGACAGCACCTGTTGTTTCGCAATAAAATGGTAATAAGTTTTTAATGATCGATATCAGGGTTAAGTTTTTCCGGACGTACCGGCGCCGTGACCGACAACAGTGATGAGGTCCTGATCGCCACCGAACTTATTGATGTTGGTGTGATCGCAATAAAATGGTAATAAGTTTTTAATGATCGATATCAGGGTTAAGGTTTTCCGGACGTACCGGCGCCGTGACCGACAACAGTGATGAGGTCCTGATCGCCACCGAACTTATTGATGTTGGTGTGGATCCACTTGAGGGCCTCTCTCTGGTCATATAAACCCATATTTCCTTTCGGCTCTTTTGACTCGAAGCCCATAAACCCAAAGATACCCAAACGATACTGAATGGTGACCACAACCACGTCCTGTTGAGCGGCGAGTGCCAGTCCGTCGAGCTCTTCGGTGGCGACCCCTCCGTAAGCGAAAGCCCCGCCGTGTATATAGACTATGACCGGCAGGAATGACTCCTCCTGTAGGGGCGCCCAGACGTTCAGATACAGACAGTCCTCACTGGATGTGGAGTTAAGGAACCGAAAGGCGGATAAAACGAGCGGCGAATCTGACTAAAGGGTCACATGAATAGGGATTTAAGAGAAATGAAAATACAATTCACTTTTCATTTACAATAATTACAATTGAAATGATTTATTCAATTATGCGATAATGGTTTGAAGTAGCAATCAATCAAAAGTCAACGCTAACTAATATTTTTTTGAAATAGACATAATGACCTTGGTCAATGCATCAACTTATCAATGTTAAAAAATCCAAACGTTTTCTCATTAATTGTATGTTTAATATATCCCTCCGAAAAATAATGATTCAATTATTTTATTAGCTTTTCCTTGAATATAATTGAATTGAATATATATATTCTGCCGACAAAGACATGTAATAAAAGGATCTCTCTCTCTCTCTCTCTCTCTCTCTCTCTCTAATTCTCTCTCAATGTTTAATTTTAGGAATCCATGCAATCACTCGACTCCGTGTATAAGAATCTTAAATTCAAATTTAATTTCAAATATAATTTTTTATTTTAAACTCTTTTTGTTGTTTATTTTGATGAATTGATTTGAGTTATTATTGTGAATGAAATATATTCAAAAAAAAGTTATGGGGGAAAATATGCTCACAAGTAGTCAGTGAGTGAAACCGAAAACTTTGGCGAAACATATCATCAATTGATTTTCAAAAACACTTTTCCTGTTTCTGAATCTTATTTATAATACTATATAACCTGTGATTAGTTCAGTGATAAGGCTGTCACTCATTGAACCCGATATTACAGTGGAAATGTCTCAACCATTTTTTTGCGATACAAACTATTTCTCTCTCTCACACACAAAATCAGTGCAAATAACCCCTATTTCATTGAATCAGACAAAAGCTTTCGTTTTGAAAATCAATGATTTATTACATAAGTCTAGAAAAGTTTCACACCAAATTTTTTCATTAAATATAATTTTTAATAAATTTCATTTCTTACATTCAGAACACTATATGACAAAAGACTTATGAAATGACTTTTGTTTAAAATATTAATACATTTTTTTAGTAGTGTTATTTTTCTTCTCATGTATTGTTATTTTGTTTATTGAAATACAAAAGATAGATAACCACTGAAAACGAGTTTTTTGTTTCTTAATTTTGAAAACATTTATAAATGTTGTATCCCTTGGACTATAGATACGAGTAAAGGGTATGAATTTTAATGACAATAAAATAATTACATTCTCTAATCAATTATTTGCTAGTATATTCAATAACTATGTACATTAAACTATCGCTAAAATGTACTTAAATTATTAGAAAAGTTTTTCATAACATAACATTAGAATTAGTTTATTATGTGGGCCAAATAATAGAAAGTATATCTAATAATATATAATTAAGTAGATAATTGTTATACAAAATATACATTTTAGTACATTATGTAGAAAAATCATTAATGAGAATGTCTAATGATCTAAAAATTAAAATTATTTCTAGGAAAATTTGTTTGAAAACTTTAATGTTTCTCTTTTTTCGCATGTATTTTGTTGATTGAGTAATAAAGTTTGGCTAAAGACTGAAAGTACAGACAATTTCAAGGCTTAACAATACTATCATAACATTGAAATTATACGTAAGCTATACAGGAATACATGTATTCTTATGCATATATTTTTAATATATTGTGGTAATGATCGTGTAATCAAATTAAATTCAAAAATTCAAAACCATTTTTACAAATAATAAATAATAAACTTTGTCATATTTCTTATTTATAGATAACCTTTAAGTTAATTTTTTGGGAACAGCTCGGAGATGATATTAAACGCTATTTACATTCCTATACAGTATATCATATTATATACAAAATCGCGCAAAAACAAAAATGTGACAAATATTTTATTTCAATAAAATCTTATTTTATTTTCTTAAATTATTACTTTTGCGCAAAATATTTGTACAGAAATTTTTTTATTATAGTCTTTTATTATTGCTTTATTAAATATATTGATTTTGGATCGTTAATAAGCGCTCATGTAGTTTTTTGTTGTAAATATTTTAATTTTCTAACCTATTTCTCGAGGCTCTATCGGAAACCGCGTAAAACAAAAAGGCACTCATATTCACGACTAGCAGAGTATTTGCTTTTATAAACTAATACAACAATATTAGTAAAACGGTATTTCCAGTGGAAATTTGTTCTCAATTAGCGAATATATTGCTAGAAAAAAATCTATTCATAAACTTGTGCCTAAATTTTGTGCGCAATTTTTGTTTAGCACCAAAATAATTTATGAATTAATAGATATATAAATATTGGTTTTTCGTATGGAAAACAACATAGTTGTCTATTTTTATATCATCTTCACTGTAAACATATCTATAATAAGTATTTTTGTTTTCTCTTGACTAAAATAAATATAATTTTTAACACATATATTATGGTTGAAATTGCGTGAATATTTTTATCGAAAACGAAAATATTTTGTAATTATAAGTGTTTTTTTCATACAAGTCTCTGTATATGTAAACGACTTTAAGTGTCAAAAATGGATGTAAAATTACTTTTGAGAGACAACTGCTCAATGATTTTTGAGTCTTTGAAAAATAAAAATATTTAAATATTCATTAATTTATTTCTTATATCAATACTATTTTAAGCTGACGTCGATTTTTGATTGAATTATAATTACGAGTCGTTTTCGGTTGTGTTTCAAGTTTTTTACTTAAACGCGAAGTAATTTGATTGAAATTTTTATGACATTTGAAAATATTAAAGAAATTCATACTTTCTAGTCTGTAATATCGACAATTATGATTTGACTTTTAAAAACTTTATATTTTATACACAAAAAAAAGTTAATAACTTAATCAACGCCTCATATCTTTTACTACATTAATAATTTAAAAGCAAACACTGTTTGCATAACATATTAATATTTGTCATAAGTTTGGACTTCACAGATAATTTAGTATCGATACAAAGTTTATATTGTATGTGAAATTGGGATAAAAAGTTTAATAAATAAAAAGATTTAAGATTAAGGAGAAACTCATTGCATAGAAAAGGTCTCATAAGTAGTCTCTTTCTCTTATATATCGGAAAATCTGATAAAAATATTGCACTAATATTTGGAAAGAGAAGATCTTCACTAGAAAAATGTAGTCTTTATTGAGTTTTCATGACTTGAATAATATTAGATTTAAAGAAAACTTCGTATTTATTTAATATAAAGCAATGTATAATGACTTTAGAAACGCTAATTTAAAGGACACGAAAAAAATTATATAAGAGGATAGTTGTAATAAAACCATTAATATTAGGCATAACTTTAATAATATTATTCTTTGCCCAACGATTCCTATCCGTCTAAAGCACTCGACGCCAGTATTATTCACTCTATTATTAATATTATTTATATTTCTTGAAATAAATATATTTTCTTAAATTTTTTACTTAGCTTCGCAAAAGTTTTTCAAAATGTTTTAGTTCTGTTGCGAGAGGAGAGAGAGAGAGAGAGAGAGAGAGAGAGAGAGCACCTACTGATTAGTCTAAATATCACATAAATATCAAATGTTTTCCTTATTTCAAAAGTTTAAGACATAACTCAATAGCGAAACATTTTTATCACTTCTTAACAAATTTATGACATTTTGAGTGTAAGTAATGCATTGATATTTATCGCAATCTAATTATTTAACTCTTTTAACGCCAAAAGTTTAGTAGATTTCAATGAATGGGGCGCTTAATAGACTGTTAGGTGTATATACCTGAAGACAAGAGGCCGGTTGCTGGAGAGCCTCTCGCACTCCTTGCCATTTGCCTACGGGTGCCGTCCTCTCAAACCTGAGCGCACCGACCGGTGGCTGGGCGTAGGGAATGCCCAGAAACGTGTGGACAGTGATGTTATTAAACTTTAGCTTTTGGCCGGTCACCTGCCCCGAGTCCGTATCAATAGTCACATACTCGCGCACCCGTTGCTTATTGGCATCGCTATTGGCTTCGCTGATCGGCTTTTTATGAACTTCGCTGATATTTGGGTCACAATTATCTGATTTACGGAAACTGTTGAAAGCGAGACTCACGACAATCAATAGTATGACTAAAATACACGCCATATAATAGTATTTGCGCTTCGCTTGGTTTTTGGTGTTGAATGTCGTCATTGTTTCCTAACTTATTAGACAAATAACACCGAAAATTATAAATTAAATCAACACTAACACAGAGACACTCCACTCACACACACACACATACACTGCTAAATACAATCCAATCGACAAAAATGTTATTATTTTTTAGCGCAGGAGTTATTATTTGTGTCTCATTTGAGGAGATATTTTCGGTTCACAGCGAGAGAGAGAGAAAACTTTTTTCGCAGAAAATGTGAATAACTTCTTATACTGTATATACGATATGTGTTGTTGTTATGTAAGAGATTTAAGAGTAACTAATGACTGCTTTCACCGCCGCTTAGAACTACAGTACTATTGAGTGACAAAAACGTGAATCAAATGTATAAGAGAGCGAAAGTTTTTTGGGTAGAGATTGTAAAAAGTGAATGCAATCGCCTGGCGGAGTGTTGGCCCAAAGCGCTCAGGTATTAGCATCTCATTCACCATTCGCTACGATTAGGAACTCCTATTCCCATGCATTGCATGCAATTCAAGGGCAGTTCTCTCTCTCGCCCGGCGTTAATACTACGGCATATTCAACCGATTATGCAGTGAATGATAATTATATAATTTGAACACAATTTAATGTAAAAAATATTTGTGTTTTTAGACAAATTATAAAAAAACATAAGACACTGATGTACGTGACAAAACTAGTAAGCTATTTGTGTTTCACACGCAGTGTTATATTACATTACAATTAGGTATTGACAGGTGAACACGTTTTTTCAATTAATATCATAATTTTTATTGATATTTTAAACGCGAATTCTTTGAAGTCTTAACTCTGTATGCAATGAAAAGTTGGTTTTGTCAGTGATTTGTGAATAAACACTCGAGAAGTTTAAGAAGTAAATCAGTTTTTTGGTGTAAATGTTATGTAAAGAGTGGGGGAAACCTATCGAGAGATGCACTGGTATTACGAGTCAAATCCATGCACTTGTGTTTCAAATCGTTTAAATACTTGATATTTGAAAGTCACAAAAAATCTCAAACTTTTTGGTAAACTTTTGCACCGATTATATAAAGTGAAACACACTTTGATAGAGAGTTATTTGAAATATTTTGCTGTTTTTGATTAAAGATTGAAAGTCGAGTGCAGTCACAGGACTCTAAACGATAGCCCATGGGCTCTATGTATTGAATAATATATAAAATAGTAAACCCGTAAACCAGTACAACCACTACACGCCAAACCAATGAATAATTCTTGTAAATCACTTGGAGATAGCATTCATACCAATGTATTCATTCATTATATTATTATTGTGTGAGTCTTTCGACAATTATTTTTAATCACTTTACAGAGGATTATTGAATATCTATTTTAGGATATATTTATAATTTTTTAAATTGAATGAATGAATAAAATAGATAATGCATTTATATTGTATAAACCATAATTCTTACTTAACACATATAACTTTAAGATTATGAATATTTTTTGGTTAAGCAAAGTGTGAAAAATGATCATTTGTTTAAAAAAGTCATTATTTTAAAAAGTTATCTAAATCCCTATATTCTGTATTGAATAAATCAGGAAATATTACACACAAAATCAGTTTTATAAACAAACTTTTTTGCGCAATTAATTGATATAAAAATAAGATTTGATATAATATTTCTTCGTTATTGTGACTCATGTTTGTGTTTCTGAATTCAAATCATTTTTTCATCGATAAGTAAATGATTAAATATCGGACGCGGAAAAAAGTTACCGCAGTAAGATTTGATGACTAAATTATGGTTTGTTGCTAAACTACAAAAGCTATCAAATTTAAATTTAAACCTCAACTATGGTTTTTAGTCTTACGTATTCTCCCGAAGAGACTACTTGCTTAGAGCACCGGTAGCTCGGCACAGGTATGTTTCTTACCCAGCAA